ACGCGTGAGTTCTACAAAGATTGCACCTCAAACTGAGCTCTGGGCTTCAACGCTGTGAGGCAGCAGTGCTAATCACTGCAACACCATGCTGCCGCCTGCTTTATATTCTGACAATTAAGTCAACTTTTTGTGGTGGTGAATCACAGATTATTAAATAATCTGTGAATGAACACTACTCCTTGTGCAATGTACAGTAAAATGTACAGACCTGATTTACTGTTGGGTAACCAAACCCAACGTTTCGCTGCTTACAGAATCAGTTATGATGTTCCCCCATCATGCTGAAACTATTTAGCAGTACAAACATTGAAAGAGTGCTCCTTTAATAGTGAAAAATGCCTGATATTATCAGTTACCTTTCAATTTGTTTTCTCTGCTGCTTTTCAATCCTCTGTACTCCTTCAAGCTGTCCCAGTAGCTCCTGTTCACCATTTTTTACCTGTTTAGAAAGGAAAATATTAGGAATTGTAGTTGCAAATAATAAATAAAAGTCATCATAGACAACGGGATGCAGTATAGTTACCATTTTTGGCTGAGCAGGCTTTCTTAAAATCTCTTCCTGTTCCCACATAAGTTGCTTTTCTTGTTCTATTTTTGCCAATCTTATAGCATTTTCTTCTTGCTGGTATTAAAACAAAATCACAAATTAATTCACACACACATCATAATTAAATTGTTAACAGTTAACATAATTAACAGTTTTAACGTCATTATGGATTAAAATTAAATTGACCTTTTTACGTCCAAATAATGTACTGAAAAGTACACACACTGACAGCATATAAACACTCTTATTCTTAGAAAATAAAAAAAGCAGTTCTTAGCTGTTTGAAGTGACACAGATTTTGTCCTGTATAATTCTATAAACTTACACTGTGGTGACATCATAATTGCCAATTCAAAGTTTACTCAGCATGTCCTTCTAAGCATGTCAATTCAAGATTTAAATGTCTTTGTGGTTCTTCTTGTTAGTTGGTTTTGTCTGAATGCCTGTGGAGGTGTGAAGAGCATGTTAACTGCTGGTTTTCTTAACCATTTAACTTTCCAAGGAGACACGGAAGGCATCTCCAGAGTGGGAGTATTCCAAGGTCTATCTTTGTGTTTTAGATAATACAGGATTGAGGGCTTTGTTGATCTTGTACTCTTAACCTTATTTAGGAATGGTGACAGCAATATCTGACTTGAAAAAGTCAAACTGTTTTTTTGCATATTTCTGATCTTTATTTTTGGCTGGAAACATCTGATTGATCACAAGATAGTCTATGCCAGCATGATGTAAGCACTGACCCCAAGACTAGAAGTGAGTGCTCCAGCTAGTAATGCAGACAAACACTCAAAAACATGAATAGCAATTGAGTTCACGTTCAGTGCAATGCACTGCAGAACTTGGCATTTAGCATTTGCACTTCAGCTTTTTCCTGATTTAGTTCAAAAGATTAATTAAGCAGTTAATATTAACGCATTGCTTCCACTATAGCTTCCTGAATAATCCATGATGTAACAGATAAGGCTTTCTAGAACACAATAAATATCCCTATCAGGAGGCACAACCCAGCCTGTATTGTTAGCTCTTCTCTATGAAGTGGACTTTCAACTCTGCCATTGTACAATACAGTGAATCAGGGCCCTTCCTCTCCAGACCATCACTTTGTTTTGTCAGCTGCTGACACATTCCACTTTCTCTGCTTTTGAGACGCTCGTCTCTATGTGGTCAGTTTGTTGACAGAATCTCTCGTGTGACATGGATGAATAGGTAGAGGTGATGAAGCATTGTATTACTATGCATGCGGCAAACAAAATAGGGTGGCTTAGTTCTCTTACAGTTAACCCGTGTCACCAGAAGAAAGCCGCGAGCAAATTTATTCCACGGCTGTTGAACGGGTTCAATTTGTGCTTTAGTTAGAGCACAAAATAACAACAAACAATGTATGCACGAATGTGAAAGTAGCTCAAGTAAAATAACAAGAGAAATCTGTACCATCAAAGAAATAAAACACATTTTTCAAATCCATATAAAAATTATGAAGGACAAAACATCTTAATTTAATGTAGAATTGGAGATGTAGACATTTCCATGTGTACAAACACAAATGCATTTGAATGCCCCCAAATATCAGCCAAAACACAATATTTGTAGACGATAATTATTTAGATATGAGTGCTTAATTTACAATGTGTAAACTTACTTTTCTTTTTCGGGAAATATTTTATATATAATATGTAATAAAAAAACATAAGTAAAAATTACTAGTGCAATCAATACTAGCAGAATGAAATGTAGAGCCTGACAATAAAATACAAAGTTTTATTATTATTATTTCTGTTTTCTTCCTGATTCGCAATAACTCCAGTTAAGTCTTTTTATGCAGTCTTTGAAAGTCTGAAACATTTGGGGATTAATTTAAAAAGAATCAGAATTGTGTTTCTGATGTAAACACCTTTCTCCCGATAACACATCCTGCATGGATTAATAGTGTTAAAATCACGAGGAGAGAAATGGGGTGATAACTCTGAAGTCCACATTATAGGAATCTGGAGATCTTGTCACATTTTGTCTCTGTAGTACTGTATACAGTACCTGATGAAGCCAGGGAATAAATTATAAGGTACATAACATTGTGAATAGCTCTTCCTTTCAAATACATAGGCAGGACATACAGACAGTAATGATGTTAAAACATAAATAACATGTTTCAATCAACCTGTTGTTGTCATTTATAAGTAAAAATATTATTAAATAAAAATACCTCTCAAACTTGTTATTTGTGATCATTTTAATCCTATTGGTTTACATGTGAAAATCTTAATACTTAGATACAAGAATGTGTCATGACATCTTGATCAATGCTTTTTGCTGTTGATACAATGATGCAGATTGCTTTTTATCAAACCCACATGGCTAAAATCAATACCTGGGAGACACAGCATGTTTAGAGTACGTTATCCTTTCTTTGTTTTTAGAATCTTAAGTTTTCATTGACTGGACAACTGGCCTTCCAGATATGGCTTTGAAACCTCTGAAGTATTGAATGAGCTACCATCATTAAAATTGATTAAGTTAGATGTCCTTACCTACTTGCTCCTCATGCTGTACACGTTTTTAAAAGAAAATGCTTCACTCTTTTCCTAACTGCAACTAAAGAGTTTCAGTATGGTTGGAAAAAAAGAAAGCTTCTGAAAAACCTTTAAAAGCTTACCTTTACCTATTCATATTACAAAGTCTAAAGTCTAATAAAAATTAGTCCAGTGGAAACATTTGACCTTTAATGTTTCAACACATAAATACTAGTCAACAAATTAATTGATGCATCTTTGGAAAACAATTAAAACGACTTCATTTTGACATTTTAAAAGTATTTTTAAATACCTGCATTGCAAAAGTATTTGAATACTTGCGCCTTCGACAAGTTTGTGGTTTCAAGATCTGTGGTCATTGTACTTTGATGTAGCAATTAACATTTGTTATATAAACAACCTGCTCCACACATTTAAAGCAACAATCATAGGAATTCTGGTAACGTTTCTGCTTTCTGCTTTAAAGTAAAACCCCACAAAATTCTTCAAGCATAGCTAATTTCACAATCCATAAAACGAGTGGGGAAAAATCCAAGGTAAGTCTACCAAAACAGAAAGCACAAGAACATCTTGCTGTGAGAACAGAAGATGATGCCAAATTCTTAGAGCTTCTTAGAGCAAAACATGGAAAATGCAAGTTAAACCTTATGGGGAATCATCATGAGCCTTAGGAAATATACGATCTGAAGACTGAGATGAAGAAGGAACTCAAGGAGTTAAAAGATGAATTTAAAAGAACTCGAAGATCTCAATAATGATACAGTATAAAACAGAAGGTACCAATGTTAGTGACATACTGAATGTATTTAGGAGCTCGAAGCAGTCAAATGTTGATCTGAGGGACATCCTGATCCATGCACTGAGGCAACAGAGCAACACAGGCTAAAGTGACTAACCTCGAGGGAGATTAATTTTATGTTTGGTAGAGAAAGGCATAAAGTGAAAGAATGTACAACATGAAATACTGATCTGGCAGATCACTCAGCTGTGTTTCTTGTTTTACATTTAAACAGTAGACCAAGAAGCACAGTTTGGAGAATGAATACAGGTATACTCAATAATAAATCAGCTGCTGAACAAACAAGAACTGGCCTTTAGTTATATTCAGTAAATAATGACAACAAAGACGAGAACCCTGCCATACTCTGGGATGCTGCCAAGACTACTTATAGGAATGAATGATAACTAACACCAATCTCAGAAGAAGTTATGGTAGTAAAAAAAATAGAGGGCAAATTAAAATGTTTAGAAGACCAACATAAGAAGAACAATGATTCATTAGTCTTGGGACAGATTAAAAATACAAGGAAAGAAATAGATGCATTATACAAGGAAGAACTTGGGAAGAAGTACAGATTTTTGTGGCAAACCTACTATGAATCAAGCCCTAGGGCTACAAAAAAGTGGACAAGAAGGCTGTGTAAACAGCAAGCCTCAAACACAATCTGATGTATAAGACCAAAAAAATGTCCAACACCCTCAATGACATAGACAAGGCATTTGAGAATCCTATTATAAAACTCTGTATACCCAAACCAGCACAGGAAAGCAATGAGATTATAAAAACCTTTTTAGACTCTTTGGATCAGCCATCAATTGGAACAGAGCAAAATGCCCTCTTGACAAAAGAAATCAAACAAGATGAATCAGACACGCCAATAAGTAAGAAAAAAACTAACAAATCACCAGGTAGCGATGAGCTACCATCAGAGTGGTATAAGACTTTTTGAAAAGAAATGTCCACTCTTCTCCCTTCTTCTTTCAGTTAGACCCTTAAACAGGGGGTTGGTCCCACCTCTTGTTGAGAGGCAATAATCTAATTTACTCCTAAGAGGAAGAAAGACAGGGAACTACAGCATGCAGTTTGTTTGGGACAATTTCAATTTTAAATATGGACTAAGAGCTATATGCCTCGATTACATCTAAAAGGTTGGAGACTTTTAAATCAGAATTTACAGAGGAGGATTAGACTGGATTAATTCATGTTCGTCAAACTCAGGACAATGTCTAGGCCAGGACTCCACACACTTCAACATATTGAAAATGAACAGATCAGCACAATCCTAGTGAGCTTAGATGCAGAAAAAGCTTTTGACTGTGTAAATAGGGAACATTTTTTCAGGTATTGGAGAGGTTTGGTTTCACAGAAGAGCCAGTTAAGCCTTTTAGAAGTCCATACTCAAATCCCCTAGTCAGAGTGTGAGTAAATGGCCACCACACAAGCAACATTGTTTTAGAAAGCCAGACATGTCAAGGATACCGACTATCTCCCATCATATTTGTTCTTTACATTGACCCCTTGCCCAAAGAATCAGATCAGGACATAAAGCATATATATATATATTTATTTATTTAAAGGAACACAAGGCAGCCCTTTATGCTGGTATTCTGTATCCTGAAATCTCCCACACCAACCTATTTCATCTTCTTAACAACTATGGCTGATACTCGGGTTACAAACTCAATGTACAGAAAACAGATTCTGTCTTCCAAAACTTAAATGCAATAAAGTATTTAGGGGTTTGTAAAAAAGAAAGACCCTGTAAATTATATAAAGGTACGATCCTATCATTGCCAAATTCGAAGACGATCTGAGACGCTGGGAGAATATGTGCAAAACACAAATGCACTTCCAGTAAAAAGATGGTGGGACTTTTGATCTGCCATGAAGAAGGGACAAACTTTATACTAAGCCAGTGTGCAAAATTGGTAGAGAATTATCCCAAAACACCTTTTGCTGCAGTTGCTGACAATACTTTGACAAAGCTGTAAATCTATAGAAGTCCCCATCTTGCTGTAACTTATACTGTTTTCAAAGGAAACAGCTTTGGTCAATTCTATTACAGTAGATTGCCGAGTAATGTTTTGTGTGGCTAATGAAAGACTGAATTTATTACTTTTTCTTGAGATATGATTCATAATAAATACCAGGATGCCAGAAAAAACCACTCAAAGAGCTTTTGAACCAGTTATTATAAGTGTCATTCTAAAATCATTCAAACAATACTAACACTGTTAGAATAAAAAGATTTTGAAAATGATGTACCTTTACACTGTATAAGAGCAGTTTCATTACCTACCGTTTTCTTGCTTGAGGTCTGCATACTTTGTATTTCTTTTTCCATTTCCTCTTTCAGTTTCTTTAACTGCAAAAATATAACATTTCCAGTTAATTGTGCATACTGTACTTCCATAAACTTCAAAAGATGTATTATAGTCATCTTTCAATGTTTTACTCAGATGAATACACAAAAAGTATTTGTTTATTAATGTTTATTATTAATGATTAATTATTTTATTTTCATATTCAGAATAATGCACAAAATCATCCATCCATCCATCCATCCATCCATCTTCTAAACTGTTTTATCCAGTAGAGTCATGGGGGAGCTGGAGCCTTAGACTACAAGAGAGCAAGCACCAGGCACAAGGCGGGATACACCCTGGACAGGACGCCAGTTCGTCACAGGGCAATGCCAACAATCATTATCCACAAATACTGGGTTTACAAAACATTTTGATCCAGTAAAATAAACAAATGGAGCTGCCTGTTCCACCCATATATGTCTGCAAGCCTTTAAGTTACGGGTTATGGTCTAAAGTATAGGTATGACCAGATATTTTATAAGACAACTTAAGATAAGATAAGATCATTTTATTAGCCATATTACAATTTCTTGCATTATGAATTCATCTTTTCGCATACCCCAGCTTGCTCTCCATGAGACACAGACACAAAGATAGGGAGAGAGAAGCCTGGGGTCAGAGCGCAGGGTCTGCCATTGTACAGCACCCCTGGAACAGTTGGGGTTAAGGGCCTTGCTCAGGGGCCCAACGGAGTAGGGAACTTCCAACTTAGTGGAAATGTGTAGATTTGCAACATCGTACCACATGAGTCACCTCTGTTTACCCCCAGGACTAAAGTGCAGCAACCATCTAAATTGATGTTCTAAAATCTATGGGAAGTAAGATATTAGTAGCAACCTTGTATTCGCTAGTATTACAAAAACTGTAATTAACAATGTGTATCTAACATCTGAGATTTAGAGAATCTAATCAACTTCTTGTGCGAAGAAGACCACACAGGGACTTTCAGCAGCAGAAGATCCAAGAAAGACTGCCATCTACATTAACAGTGTGAGACAACAAAAAAAACAGTGAATACATGAAAGACAGGCAAACAGAAACTCTGAGGCCAGATCTAATGCAAGTGTGTGAGATATGGGCTGTACAGGGCTCATGTAAGAGAAAATGAAGTTCCACACTGCATACATACACGCTTGCAGAGGATGCAAAAGAACCTTCAGAGCGCTCTGGTGACAGAACATTATTACAGATTGTGTTGAAATTGAAATATAGAATCACTAAGATAGATCCATACATTTGCAGGTCCCTCATCAACCCAGCTCTTGTTGAGTCTTTTCCTTAGATGCAGAGAAGGCATTTTGTCAGTTAGGACAGAGCTACCATTCGGTTGTTCTGGAATGGTACAGTATTGACCACTTAAAACATCTGTACACGGTCAATTAATTTGTGTTCGGATTGGGTCAGTGATGCCCTCTCAGATCAGAGGGCACAGGGAGAGGTACAGTACAGGGCTCTCCATTGTCACCTCTAATATTTCTTCTCTTTTTACAACTACTAGCTATTAGACAACGTGTTAGTGGAGCCCCTGTTGACTTACAGTGATCAAAAAAAGGTTTCACTTTATGTGATCATCTTCTTTTTTTCTCGCAGATATTTCTAGCTCAGTCCCTCATGTTATGAACTTATTTGATAACTTTAGTAGGTCTCTTTGGCGAAAAAAATAAATCACTGAAATCCAATCTTTCTGCCCCTGAATCCTGAAATCGGAAAAAGGTTTAGAAAAGGTTCGCCTTTACCTCATTGTCCTATTCGTTACATATCATTTCAAAATTTCCAAATGAACAACAAATTCCTAAGGAGGATGTACATGAGATCCTAAATAAAGCAGACTTGGCTAGATCTTTTTCTTCTCCAGGTGACACTACATCGTAAAATGTGTGAACAAATATTACAGAAAAGTCTCCTGTTAGTTATAATGTTGTTTGCTGGCAGGTCCTCCCAGTACCAAAAACATGTTATTGTACTAGGCTGAGAGATACCAGATATACCTCTGGAACAGATTTGGCTGCATTCTCTTACAGACATTGTTTTGCAAAATGAGATACGAGTATAGAAATAGATATAAACCATAAATATAGAAATTTAGAGAGTGTTATTTTCCTTTGGGTAGCTCCAGAGTAGCTCAAACCAGTAAAAGACCTTGCCTTAAGCACAGGGTGAACTCTATGATCCAGGCGTTACAGCTCTGAGACCGGGTCGGGTTGCAAGCCTGGGTCATCGACCACAGTCCCTGAGCCACAGGACACAATGGCCAGCGTGCTGCCAAAGAAAAGGCTGTGCTTAGGCAGCCAGGACCCTCTGGGCTCCCAGCAACTTGTCCTGGACATGTGGTTTAAAGCAACGTCCTACTCTGACAGGCGAAAAGAAATGAACCCTTTGTCTTGAACAGAGAAGACTATGAGGGTGACAGATCCAAGAATTCAAAAGCCTGAAAGGCACTAACAAAGTTAACCCAGTGGATTCCCTCAGAATTAGATCTGATCCGCAGTCCTGAAACTGTGGTAACATTACTTAACATTGTCTCAGAATTAACTAAACATTAACTAAATAAGTAAACATTCTGATGATTGACATGAATAATTTACCTTAGGTTATTTTAAGATCAGGTTTGTGAAGATTCAGATCATTGATATCATGACATATACTCATCCACACTAATAAAATGAGTATAAGTCATGATATCAATGATCTGAATCTTCAAAAACCTGATCTTAATAAAATTCACAATTGTTATAATGGTAGTGGGACCTTTGAGTAAATAGTGGATAATCATATATTGTAACTGCTGATGGTGGCTAAGATGTATAAGATTTTTGCATGCCAATGGATTTACTAAATAAATCATTTTAACTATATTTTCTTTATTGAGAGTATAATTTTCTCAAATTATATCATCTTACTTCCTGATTTGAATTCATCAGGAACTCTTTAAATGATAAGCTAAAGTATTGAACTTTGTGTCTACTGGTCAGAAGTCAAGTGATTAGGCTGTGGCTGTTAAGTCTTTTCACCAGGAAAAGCTTATTTCCAACTGTGCTTTCTAAAGAAAACACTGGGAAATGCTATGGCTTCTCATTAGGAACCTCCCTCAAAGATTTTCAACTATGGAGGCAAATTTTCTGCATCATTGATCAAAGTCACCAAAAATAATGTGGAAAAAGTTCCATTTTTACATTTTTATGCATACGTACTATGTAGAACTTAACATTGAGTTTGTCAGTCACAACACAAAGGATATTGTGGCAATGCAAACAAAAGGAGAAAACGTCAACTGCTACACTAAAAATGTATAATCCTTTTCACTGATGATTGAAATGACATTAAGGAAGTCTTTATTGGTAGTTTTTCATTTTTTTTAGAACATTAAAGGTCTTGGGCGCCATCTGCTCTCGTGCCATAACCTTTCTATTCCCAGTTGTTTGTTTTGTATTTGTTTAAGCACATAAAATATATCAGCAGCCAGCAAGGGCTGTCACACGTCATTGTCAGAGAATTCACTGGGGTTCTTGAATACGTTCAATGTGGCATTTGCAAAGAAGCAGCGCACCTATTAAAAACACTTTCTAATCTATAACATTCAGTACTGCATACAGCACAATAGTGCAGTCAAACAAGATTGTACATAAAAGAACAGCAAACATAGTTTAGCTAGGAAAAACATACATTTTTTGTCTATATATACTTTCAATGTTACAAGAACTTATTAGCAATAACAAACAGGATGAAAACTGTAAAAAATATACATATTTATGTTGTAAAATAGCATCATCTGAAAAGAACTTGATCTCTGAATACTTTTATTACTCTATAAACAGGTCATTATCGTGAAAACTGAAAAACAGATCTAAAACATGAAGTAAAATGTCAAAAGCCTTATTTAGTTACTTATTCAGTTACTAAGGCAGGAAGCAGTAATGACAGCAGGATGTCATCAAGATGTGAGAATGAAGTCAGCATTAGGGATATTCTGAATTCTAATGCACAATGTCTTCTATCTCTTCATTAGTTTCATAAGGTACACAGTCAGCCCAGGAGTGAATCCCTTGCAAACACTCCTCTGAATAATTTGGGAACTGTGCAGATGCAGCATAGATTTTAAGCTCCTTGAGAATGAAAATATCTTCTACTTCGAGGCATGGACATTTGAAATTCATTCCCAACATTTCAAAGCAATTGCAACCAGCCAGCTTCTCAGTCTCAACAAGAACCTGTTGTTAGTTTTGTTTTTGGATCACACTATGAAGTTTGCCAGTAATCATTTCCCAATAACTGCAGTGTAGATTCAATTTGAAGATTCTAACAGACATAAGTAAACTTAGATTTAAGACAGACATTAGGTAGGACAAAAATAGATGTATTCTGTTATCTTTGATTGTGAGGCTACTTACTTTGTGCAATCAGGATTCTAACAAGCACTCCTGAAACTCATGTGCAACATGAATTCATGCTTGCAAACCCCATACAGTGATGAATATGCTGAGTGTCATATAGCTCAAAAGCATAAATGCAATTTGAGTGTCATCGGTTGGTGAAGACATTTCACAGAGATCACTGGAATGTTCCTACATTCAATCTGTAAAGAAAATGACAGATCAGTGTGGCTTTCTTTGGCAGTGATTCAAATTAACATGCCTGTCTGTCAAAGTGTGCCATACATTAGACTTAAATCCAGTCATACAGCAGCAGGCCTTACATGACTTAAATTTCTGTTTAAGGTGAAAGTTTGGTGTGATCCTTGGTTTGCAGGTGTATGCATTGTTTTACTGAAAGATGAAAGAACAGCTTTATCTGCAAATTTGTCATTAGAGTATCTAAGCTTTATGTTCATAATAATAATGAACCTTTTACAATTCACAGGGAAACATAAAGCAGAGGAAATGGAAACAAGACAGAAATGCATTTAAAGCCGAGAGCATTTTCTATCCAAATTGTTATGTGAGTATGGAACAAGCTACCCAGCCAAGCTGTGGCTAATACCCTAAGTTCTTTGGAGAGTGGCACCGATCCTCCAGTCAGTGCTAACTCACCTGCAGGGCACTACAGAGCGTGCGTGCAGTGTGTGTAATCAGTGTGTGTGATCAGTGGCCCAAAATGTAAGACTTTTAGAGGAGCATTTCTACATTTCATATTCTCTTTCAAATGGTACACGTGCATCTGCAAAGATAGGTCATAGAACCTTGGCAAAACTAAACTTGATAATTCTAAAACAAAACAAACAATTGGCAAATTTTAAAAAGAGCATCCAGGGCAGTGCGATCAGTGGCTGTAACAGACTGACCACTGGTATTAATGACTCGTCAATAATGTTACCCCCACAAAGATATTGTTTCCTTACATAGGCACAGTTAACTTGCCATAGTTTCTCCATTATGAGTTGTAACATTACCAAATAACACATATCAATGGGTATCATTAGAAAATACCAACCTCTGACAACATTCGTTCATGTTTAAATACCAACTTCAGGAGTACAATCCATAAATTTCCGCGGCATGAAGTTGCCATTGTAGATTTATCAAAAGATTGTAACCAAAATGTATGCATTGTCTCCAAATCTGAAGATCCAGGAACAGCTAACTGGGTCTGGGTTGTTCTAGATGCTCATCAGCTGGTTGTACTAAAAGAACTGTAGTGATGGTCTAGTAGATGCACGGACACTATCTGAATGAAATCTCCTAACCTCTTCAATGTGATGATGCAGTGATGAAGTGTCACTGCTTCAGTCTGGAATCAATGGCACCCCCCTATGACATATCGGGTATGTATGTATTGCACAACGGTGTCAGTCACTGCTAGGTTGACATCCATGTGGGACATGTGTGAAGTCACTGCCAGTCAATCTCATATCTTTTGCACGCTTGAGTTTGAGCTCTAAATGAACACAGAAACTTTTGATAACTTGAATAGGAGTACCTGACTAAGATGCACCACATGACCTACACCACATTCCCCACTTTCCTGTCATAAATGTGTTTTAAAACGATAAAATGATGCCATAGCCAAAACCGAAATCTAGGGATGTGTTTCACTATGAACATCAATGCTTAGCTTTTACCTTTTGAGCAGTATTCCCACTTTATACCCAATTCACAGTACACCTAAATAAATTTACTGAATGGAATTCGTAATAGAACTTGATGTGTTTGTAATGTCTGCTAGTATATTAATAATTCTTACAGGACATTTTTTTAAAAATGACATATAACCAGAAAGGGGTGTTTTTGGTAATATTTAACTACCCATATACACTCTTAACATGAAAGACAGGTATTTCAGGGTCACTGATAACATTATCAAGAAAGAGTTAATTCAGAGAATACAAAAAAAAAGATATGGAAACTTCAGTTTGTGGAAATACACTTAGTTTAAGAATTCATAATAAGAAAGAAAATGTGAATATTCAGTACTTCTGTTTATATTATAAAACAATTGTTGGACGTTGTCCAACTAGAACTATCACAGAATCAAAAAAATGGAAATTTGGGATATGTGTTGCAAATTAACTTTATCCCAGAAACTGAACAGCTCCATTACACTACAGGCTTTTTATGAAGTACAACAAAAAAAATGAATAAAAGCATTAGGCATCATGAAATCTCATGCAATACACTACAAAAGTAATTGTAATGAAAATGGTGGTAGTTGCAAGCTTCTTACTATAAGTTGTGCTAAAATGTTCATATGTCTGGCACTTTCCCATGATAAAAACTAGAACAGTTAATCAACAAAAAGATAATCAATCTTTATGGTGATAATAAAAGATCAAAATGATTCTTTTCCAATTCACATCAAAATAATGCCGACAAATCCCATTTGCCAACTGGTGTTCATTGAATCCATGAGACATGTTTATACATTCCTATCTGTAATAGGATAGACTTTACACTGTCTAACTATTAACTTGAGTGTTCTCATTGAAGACAGATAACCCACCATAAAATAATTTAGGCTTCACTTTCTTCACTTACCAGTTGCTACCCAATCTGAATGTGTTGGTTAGCACTATTCATCCTTCATGTCTATGATAAACACTAACTGTGCTGAAATCTTTATAAACACAGTAGCCTTTAATTAACTTCACACATGGTGTAAGGTTTGAGAGGCGAAAAAGAAGTGTCAATAAAAAAGTGCTAATATTTTTGTTATGGCTGTTGATATGGAAGGTTTTCTTCCCCCCATTTTACATCTGCAGCAAGATTTTTCTTTTATTTTCTTGTCTGAATCAAACATACAGGACTTTCATTAAAACAAAAGCATCTCTGGGCACTTCTGTAGGGTAAGAACGAGCTAGTGAGAACCACAGGGTGAGAAGCAGTCAGAAGGCTGAAGAAAGGAACTGCCTGCAGGAAGCCCTGGGGCTTTTTTTGCATTTTGTTTCAGTTTTCAACCATATAAAACAGAAAACAGAGCTGCAGTTTGCTGACACCGATCCAAAGATTCTTAATAGTTAGGCAGCATAGTTCATCATCAAGTGAAAAAAAAACACATAAAGAAAAGATCTCTTCAAAATTAGAATAAATAAATGGACCTCCTGCTCTCCCTCCAGCAGAAATATTCCCTGCTTAGGACTGGGTTAGTGGATGGAGTCTGTTCGCAAGGTTAAAGTTATCCGGATGGTTTCCATTGACACGAACAAGGAAAACAAAAGTGTTTTGTTGGGGCAAACACATTTTTAAGACGGAGTCCCGGTAGCCTGTTTCTGTATGTTTACAATGGTAAAGTCAATGAAATCTGCTCCTTTTGAACGATGTGTTTTCTCCAGGAGTACAGTACTAAACTGGCTCTCTATGGTTCCAGATCTGCTGAATGCCACCCCGGAGCAGATACAAAGGGAACGATGCCACAAAGGTGAGATGCTGTCCAATAAGGCAATAAGTTTGGCTTTTTATCACATTTTTTCTAAAATACTCCAAAATAAAATGAGGACAAAAGGAAACTGTAAGGAATTACCCTAATACCATTTCACCATTTCTGCTAGTACCACCTCTGCTCTACAACAGAATGGTCAGCTCCTGTCCATTGACCTGACTCTCTATGGAAGCACTGGGAACACTGCTCCAAGCCTCTGCTGTCAGAAATCCACAGATCCTATTAAGGGTCCATAAAAATTAAAGTTTCCTATTAAGGTAAGACAGGGTAAACAAGTTCTATTCGAAGAGACAATGCAACATCTAAACCTCAGTGGGTAAGAACTGCTTACGTAAGGGTCTTTGATCTTTCAGTATCTGCACATTATATTTTTAAACAGTACCAAAACGTGTCATGTACATGTCGCCCACAGGTCATTGCACATTTAAAATGATGACAAAATAATCTACCTACCTTACTTCTGCCTGCATCTTTTTCTACATGTAGGTCTCTTTTCAAATTCTCATTCTCAGCAACTAACTGGAAAGAAATAACAATAATACATTAAAATATGCGATTAATAAAAAATAATACGCATAATACATATTTATTACTAGTAGATCATAAGAACACATATTTAATATTGCTTTTAATTACTCTCATACCAGTAACATATTTTGAAGCTGAACTTTTAAAGTTACTGACATAAACGTATGTTCCATCAATGCTTTTTAACAAGTCTATTTAAATATTCATTTTACAAATGAATAGATTTTACATTATAAACACTACACTCGAGAAATAGAATTATTCAAGTCAAATATAAATTGCCATCTAATTAAATGACGCTTGATGCCAGTTCTCAATTTATTGAGATAAAGAGGAAATCACAAAACCGAGAAGTTTATTCTAAGTGCATTGCATTTTAAAAACTGGCTCAAGATTATATATAATAACTCCTTGCATTAAAACAGTGCATATAGGAGGCAACCCACTTCACTCACCTGGGTGACACATGGCATTCAGTGTTCAACTTTGCTACACAGCAAATCACATAGCACAATAAGACACTGCTCCACCAGCTGATACAGGGAGAGCTTCAGCTAAGCCAGGCTGTACAAGCCAAGGCTGGACGTTAGCCACGACACCCCGTTTAACACCCCGATAATTTTGAAGAGCGACATAGGATTGTTCATTGCCAAGTAGTCAGGACCTTGGTTTTTAACGCGACACCCGAAGGAGAACACCTCCTACAGTGTCCACAGTCACCACACTGGGACAATCGTCTTAGAAGAGCAAGAGTGACACCTGCAGGTCCGCCAACACCACTTAAAGCAGCAATCAGGTTTTCATCAGTCAGGAGAAGACAACCACTGTGCACCCTTACACACAGCGGTTGGTGTAGCTGCCGAAGAAGGCAAGGCTCTGAGATGGACAGAGCAATACGAGCAGACGTGTCTTTGAGGGAACACAGTATATTGCCGATATGAGTTGGTAGCACAATGGATACATCTTTATAAAAACATCTAAACACCTAAACATAAAAACATCTTCCACATACAAAAAAATAATCTTTTAGAACTTGAAACTGAATTCCTGGTTATCTTTCCTGCTCTTTTTAGATTATTGTTACTTCTGGTGCCAAATGTAACTACTCATGGGACTACATCTGTAGTCACAACTATCCACAGCCCAGCCTGATGGCTTTTTACGATTATGTGACTTTCACATACAAGAATAACACACTTAAAGTTCAATTTGTTTGTAGATGATTTGTACACAACTGAAGAGTAATGTACGCTTTTTATTCATCCAAGGTGGTCTCTAAAATTTTTAAGTGAATTTTAATTTTCCTAGTGCAGATTTAAAACTAAACACACAATTATAGCTAGTAAAGCAAACCACAATGCTTTTCTTTTTAGCGGCATCTCATAAGCTCAAATTCATGAATAAAATATTTTGATATTTTTAATGGCAGGAGAGTAAAACCCAGCTCAACACACATCGGAACATGTTCCGCTGGTGTTTAAATAATTAATCAGCTCGAAAAACAATTCATTACAAAACGCACGACGGAAATAACAGTTAACACCTTTTAAGTGCTATTTAACAGGTATTTAACATAAAAATGGACAATGATATAATTGATCTATTATCTGGAGGCAATTAAATCATAATTAAGAAGGCTGATGACATAAAGTGCACTGAGATGTTCCCGATCACTTCCCGAACAAAAACTATCCAGAATTATCATCATCAGGAACAAGACGTGTACCTTATTTATGGTGATCTGATCATTTTCTGCCTTTTCTTTCATTGTTTGAAGACTGAGGCCTGTAAACAATAGAGGGATAAAGCAGACCATGAAATGATATGCCTACACCCCTTTGTTTTCCTCTGGAGTGGTACAGGTCAGCCTGAGAAAGTCCACTTGAACTCAGTGTAGCTCAAGGTCCTGGCAAGACTCTGACCCTTAGCTCTGCCCTTGACGTTCACTGGCTTCCTCCCGCTGCTCAGCCGGCTGGACAGAGAGATGTTATGGGGTAAGTTCAAGGGCCAAGTGTGGGTCTGTGCCCAGTTTTCTTTAGCAATGCTAACCCTGGACATCCCCTAGAGTTTGTCACAGCCAATACAAAGTGCTTTAGCAGGTGGTTCTTTATTTGTTGAAAGGATCATACATCAAAAGACGGGATGCTCCATTAAATCAGAAAACAAACAGCATTAAGGAATATGGTTGATGTCGATCGCATCTTTTTAATATCTACTAGATTGCTGTGTCTAATCCATTTGAGGGAATGGAGGTCTGAGAGCCTCTGTTTTCAGATAAAGATTTTTGAACCTGTTTTGTCTTTCTGACCAAACTAAGCAAGATACTGTGCAGCATTTAATATTTATTTTGAAAGCACATCCCCGACAAAGCCTATTCGAGCTCTTTCCTAAGCTACAATAGCAAATGATTTCATATTAAATATGTAGACAAACAAAAACCCAAGCACCTGCCTTAACCCTTGGAGATAATCCACCTGCTGTATTTTTACTATCTCTTACTTGCCTCTCGCATATGGAGATAACAAATGTAATGCTTAAAATGATCAAAAATGATGCTGCATGACTTCTGATTAATATAAAAATAGGACAATATCCATACTACAGTGGTGCTATAACAGCCATAGAGAAACAAAATATCCATAAATCCTATTTCTCTGAAAAGAACATATATGTGGTGTGTACAAATAAAACTAAACTAGAAGGACCTTACATAAAAAATAAATAATATTCTTTACTGTACTGCTGGATGCTGTGCTATTAGTCTTTGTTCACCTCACCCCAATTTACTTTTTGATTAAAAAAACTACAAAGTTAAAAAAAATAACCTACAAAAAGAAAAAAGAAAAGCACAATGATCATCCACATCCAGTTCCGGTCACTTCGGTTCCTCTACTGAAATGATTGAGGCTGGCCAATCCCACATATTTCGCAAATCCAAAAGCTATAGACCCATTGTAACACTACTGATTAATCAGCAACAATGATTTTTAAACACGGCGAACGTTAATACTTTACAGTACCAAGGTGCTCCAGCTGCTTGTCTTTGCAGTCCAGGCAGTCGCTGAGCCTCTCAATATCGACATGCAGGGTGTCAATCTCATCTTTTAACTTTTCATTCTCATGTGCGAGCAGCTCTTTCTCAGGATCCTCGTATGGCTGCAGGCTGGTCTAAAAAAATTACAGAACTCTTTTGACTTTTTTTTTTACCGGCAAAACAAAAGGCGCACACTTCAAGCTGCGTAGCAAATATGAGTGGTATTCAACAACAAAGCGATCGTACAACTTTCTGCCTCCTACGATTGATTCTGAATAATAAAAGGAAAAGCACAAAAAAGAAAAAACTTGGGCCCAGAATAGTTTTGCCGGAAGAAAGAAGCCAGTACATTATATACAAAGACCATAATTCATGGGGACATTTTTATTGACAGGAATAATACATATCATACTGTTTGTGTGCCCCTGTCATTCAGGTCAATTTATTATGGAAGTCCAGTGAGGCAGCTGGGCTTTTCCACCCACATTTCTCCCTGTGCATCTAACAAGTGCTCTTGGTAACTAGGCAGAGAGGGGGAGTATAGATGGGGCAACACCAGGGGGTTTGCAAAGTGCACGGCTTCGGGGGGGGGGCTTGTTGCCTTTGTACCATTCCTCAGTGACTGTGCTGCCAGTGTCAGGAGGATCACATCACATGTCAAAGTGGTGAAGTTTGCAGACTGGAAGCCACATGGAGTCCATCAGGTCCTGTGATATCTCCACAGTTGGTTTTCCACTTTGTGCTGGAGCCACCCGGAGGCAATTCATATTCTGAACATTAACATGGCTTTGCATGCCTGTCACACTTAAGACTGCGCAAGGCGTTTCAAAGGCTTTGAATGCTTCAGGGTGTTTTTTTTTTTGTTTTGTTTTTACATTTCTTTTGCCTTTTGAAAAGCGGTCGGTACCTTGTTAGTAGAGCTCAGAATAGAATTAGACAAAAGCTTAAGTTTTGATTCCGTGAATATGGTTTTGTTTTAGATGGGAATACTGTAAAAGTCACAGACCTCACTGTCCAATTGATTAGGTACGTCTGAAGAAAAGGACAGTTTTTAATTTCAAAACTCAGCAAAATATCAGCATCACCATTATGTGTTGAACAATGTCATCTGTTCATGAATGAAGTATTCATTTCACTGTACTATATTGTTGTTCTGCAATGATGTTTCACAGCTACAAAACATCCAACTACTAATTTAGTGGAAGGAAAGATTATCTATAAATATAACTAATATATACAACAAGTGTTTAATTTGACATTTTCTGCTAAAACCATCAGTATTACAATAATTGGCCTCAAACTTCACAGCTATAAATAGCTAAATGAAATGTCCTATCAGTCAGACTATGTAAGGATGGGATAATTTACACATTGACTGATTCCATGGTTGTAAGGGGAAATCATTTCTGTTTCATTTAGCCCGACTTTTTAAATTGAGGGAACACAAGATGGAAACCGCATGTGAAACCGTGAACGTACTTCAGACACGCATGAACTATGGAACTGTACCAACTGCTCTTCATCCTAATAGGCTTGGGCATCAGTTTCTCTGCTTTGGCAGAGTTTGAGCATCAACAGCTGATTGTATGCAGATCGGTTTTTACATAAGCAACACATAAAAAAATGTTGCAATTAATTTTGTGAACTGAAGTGTGAAATTTCTAAACTGCCCCTCTTCAATGTGTTTTTATGTACTATTGTCTGACATGACTTAAGTTAGAAGAGGATCTCTGATTTCCCTTAATAGAGCAGTAAAAACTGGGTTTTGGACTAGTTTCCCTTAGCTCTGGCTCCACCATCTGTTTCAGAGCAGAACTGCAGATGATTAACTATTCAGTCTCCTGTTGCAATGAGTACCCTCATTAGCAAAAGGAACAAAGAAACAATTCTCTGTAGCTACAGTCATCTGTTACACTTTGAGTGGCAGGTTTTGTGCTGGTGTTCTCTCCACCATCTGCCCACAGCAGCAGTCCTTAGTCTGATGAAACTAAAACACTAAGGGCAAGGGGGAGTGGGAAGAGGAGCGGGTGAAACCCATTAAAAATGGCAATTAAAACAAATCACCTCACCTTTTGATTCCTAATATCTAATTAATGAAAATCTTCTCTGATTTTTGTTTTGCTACAACAAAGACGTAAGTGAAGGTGAGATGAGACTTTGATTCGCCCCAATTGCACAAAGCCCTGCCTTGTCTTTCGCAGGTTAAAAAACAAAACAAAACAAAACTTGCGATGAGCCTTTGACAGCCTGATAAAAAAAAACTCTGTTTTAAAAATTTTATTCAGATAACTTAGTGCGTTTGGGTGGAAAATTGTTAAAAAAGAATGAATCACAGGCTATAAGGAACTCAAGAGACTTGGAACGCAAGCCAGAAGATTAGTACAGTATGTGACAGCAAATACCTCTTCAAAGGCCTGTTCTTCATATTCCTTCAGCTGTGCACTTAGATAGTCAATCATAGCATTTTTCTCCTGGACTTCATTGATGAGTTCGTGCAATCTGCCTGCCTTCGTCGATCCAGAAGACTGATCTTTTTCCTCCTTCCTTGAATAATATTTCTTAATCGAGAAAGAAAAATGTTTTGGTAAAAATTTTAAAGAAGATAAATTAAAAAGCACTTTTTGTAATTGCCATACCACACAAAAAGCATGTGTTTGATATCAAAACATCCTTCAACATTTTATAACAATGAACTACAACAAATTGTATATGATGAATATCCAGTTATTTAAGGCTCAGAAAAATAAAATTAAACACAAAACACCTCTTAAATTTGAACTCTTAATGTTAACTCACACATACCATTAATATATATTTTTATTTTGTAAAACACACAACACAAGCATTATATTCAGGTACTGAATTAATTTATTTGACATACACTTAAATTAAACTCCAATTCAGTTACATTTGTGAATCTGCAAACACCACAAATGTTAATTAACAGAGCAGTTCAATATATTGAGATAGCATTCTAGTCCAGAGTAATTACCTGGATTCAAACTTGCTTTGTGATACAAACAAACACCTTTTGATTCTGTGCCAGAGACTATCAAAGGATTGCAGACATGACTGTAAGATTTCAGAGTATCTGATCATCACAAATATGGATTTTTTCTTGGAAAACAGAAACAATTGAGTTGTATGTAGAATATCAACCTTAACATATTGTATTATGTTAACTAGAAAATAAACGTTGCATATATATTTAAAAATACATAAAAAATAAAGCAGGCCACAGCTTCTGAGTTACTAATATTTGAAGAAGCCTAATAGTGGAAATAGCATTACTAACTTTATTATTGATTATTTGTCAGAATAGCTACCTTTAGTATTTTATTTTGAAAACTAGTATTATAATAATTCTGCAATGTCAAATAGTTTGCAATATCATGTTGGGTTTTTAAATTGGGGATCTCCACTGAAAATAATACCCTAAAAACATAATCCTTCAACCAGAAAATTTTCATTATCCCAGATCTGGCTTTTTAATTTTAAATATCAAAGCTTAGAAAAGTCTCTTACAATATCTTGCATTATTAATTTCGTTGTCTAGTTTGAACTTTTGCACCAAGTTCAGTGTTTAGCCTTGGCTATAACAGACTCGATTGAACAAAAAAGGCAACAGTCTCTCAAATGCCAACCAGACACTGCTGTACAGACAGAAGGTGCTGTGTGACTAAAAATAACAGATGCAACATGACAAACTTCAAGGACCAGGCACCTGTCACCACGCTAAAACAACAATAATATCAATTTACAAATGGAAAGGTTTAATAAACATCAAATATGCTTTTTTTTAAGATGTTACCTCTGAATTTCAATAAAATCATAAATGTGATCAACTAAAAAAACAAACTCCTAAAATTCAGACCTAAAAAAAAAGTTTAGGAGAGAAATTTAAAAAATGATTGAAGCAGATGGCTCAAACAATTGATTTCACACTGCATGGAAACACCTAACATGAAACATCCACACAGGCGAGCTGCAATAAACACGCCTTTGTAAGGCTCTAAAATCTGTGATCCCTCTTCAATGAAACTGTCAAAGAAAGAGGACTTTGTCACATACACGCACGGCTCTGATGAAGGGTACAACTCTTACCTATACTGAAATCAAAATTAACAACTAAGATCCTGTGAACCATGAAATTATATATTTTAAACAGAAATGTTGGAAAACACACAACCATTTTCATTAAAATATCATGTTCAGTATATATTGTGCATATTACCTGTATAAAACCTTCATAGTTTATCTATGGCAATAAAACCTGCTCCCAATTTGTTACATGCTCTGTCGTTCATATGAGGTATATTCTTCATCTTGGCACCAATACTAAAATTTATCTCTGTAAAACCAAAATACCACTTAATCCATAAACAGTGATGATCCTTGTCACTTACAGTACTTCTTGTCATTTCTCAGTGACTATTACCTAACTCGAAACTAGAAAAAAACCTTCCTTCGATCAGTGAGCATTGATTATTAAATGTTATTTGTAAGTACTTAAAAAAAAAACATTATCCACACCAATTTCTAGACCAAATATTAAATATTAAACACGTAATGGACAGACAGTCCCACGAAACTGTTGGCAAACAATTCAAAGAGTTTTTAGCTGTATAATTCTTACCTTGTAGCTGGCTCTAAGGACAGCGAGCCCATCACACAGTTGCTGCTGAAAACTTTTTCGGAGAACTGCAACTTTCTAAATAAAATGATACTTAATTACAGACTTGAAAAATAAAAAATCGTTGGTATTTTGGTCATTTCCTTTCTAAAAAGCAAAATATAAAATAATATTTTCCTGATTTATGGACTCTTTTTGAAACAGGAAAATATCTTACTGTATGTTTCTTTATTCAAATGTGCTTTAATATGACTGTCGCACCCACAAATACCAACAGATATAATTATATTTATTACTATACAAAATACTAAAGAATATGCAATGTTTTCATGAATATTGTTCAGATAATAAAATAACTGAAAATTGTTCACATATTTTTTAAAAACAATTCTCATACACAGTTTATAAAAGATCTTACTCTGAAGAACAGAAATTACAAACCTCTTTGTGTTGACGTTCTAAATCTAAAACCTTTTCATTTATTCTCATATACAGAAACAGTGAATGTTGTTGTAGTTTTTCTTCATAATCTGTCTGCAAAAACTTATGTTTATACTCAAGGTCACTCTTCACAGCCTTCATATCCTAATAAAAATAATGAAAAAGAGAGAAAAGCTTTAGATTTTGTAAAACACACAAATCAACATCACACCATCTCTCGTGGACATTAAAACAAAAGGAAGCAAGCCAGGCCATAAATGCATGATCCCTCTTCACTAGATTTCAACATTTTTGACACATTTACTTTACACGGCTACATTAATTTTCAGCACACTTGGCAACTCACCAGAATAAAATTTGATTTAACAAGAATAATTCAAATCCATACACTAACACTTGTAATAAGACTGAGGGGTGGCTGGTCAGGTATGCAGTCTAAACACATAAACCCACATGAACCTGAAAGCATCAAGAGAGGTTAATACCACACTGAGAAGTGAAAGAAAAAACATGATTATTCAGCTGTGGAAGCATAGTGTGTTTTTGCATTTCCCTTTAATCGTAGAACTCACCTCTCATTTGACCACTCTAGCTTGTCCAACCTACAGTATGTAGTACTAGCAATCAAATGGCTTTCTTTGGTGGTGCACTCTGCTCTCAGAGATTTTGTAACCAGAAATAGCACCCAACCCGCAAGAATAATTCTGAAGAAATCTCTTTCAGAAACACAAAACATGTCAAAACATGACGTCCTTAAGTAAACTGATTTAATCTTAAACTAGTTTAACACTTAGGTTTCATAGGGTTTAACTTTTCATTTTATTGTATTAAATCCAGGATGGCAATATTATTCATCAATTAAGAGAAAGAATAGGTAACTCGTGAATCCTTTGGACTATTTAAAGATGTATTCTGCTGGCAGGAAGAAGAATCAACACAGTCTTACATTGCTTGATGTCGTACAGTATTTTGGTATGTTTATTTTAAGCAATCAGTGAAGATGCCATTCAGAATGGGAGAAAAAATCTCAACAACTGCAGTCAAAACATTGCAGTTTTCAGTGCATGGGGGGAACCGATAAGTAGTTATAGGTGCTGAAATATTTGGCTTCTTGTTTATGTAGGATGATGCTGAAAAGGGAATCCAAATTACTTTTTATAATTTTCTTACAGAAGTGCATGAATGAAACATCAAACTGTAAACAAAGACACAAAATGTGGACTACATGTGTTACGTGAATTTATAAATTAATGTTATTTAGTTCAGTTTCTTCTGGTGAAATAACATAAAGAAATGTCAAAGGGCCTTGTGAGAAATGCTTCAGACGTCCAAAGGAACTGTACAAGCTTGCCGCCAGTTGATCAATTTGTCTTTCTCTGCAGGAAGAGCTGTCGAGGACACTAAACATGTTTTCCTTCTTTTCCAAAGCCCATCTCAGAAGAAGGGCAGTGCTGCTACCAAAACAAAGCCACCATATGTCCTCTCAACAGGGAGCAAGGTTTAAGTATGGGTCTGACATACAGAACTGAAGTCATACTGTATATTGGAATTTTCCTCTTCCGATGAAAGGAGTGCATCATGAATAAATTAACAGGGGGGAATCTTTTGGTCTATAGAACCAGTGGACCTATAACTTTACTTCCTTAAATTGCCTCTCTTGTAATTGTGCTAAGTGCTTGTTTCACAAAGAGACGATCATGTTTGTGTGCTCCTTAGACCATGCCTTGTGAAGTGTTGTGACAATATGGTTCAGCAAATACTTTCATCTTGCTGAAGTCCCTTCTGTAGCCTACATTGCATCTGCATGTTCAGAAACAAAGCTGGTTATCTCATATAACATGCAGGTAACAGACAAAAGGCAAAAAATAAGGGAATCAATTCAATTTTATGTATAACAAGAATATCTGGCTTTATATTAGGCTAAGGAGCAAGATTTCTAAGTGTTATAGAAAACTGCAGATTTTTGCAGAGTAACCCTATGATGTTTTTAATCAGTTCATGATTGATTGATCTATGCCGTTTGCATGCCAAGACAGGTCACAAAAAGGCACGGCCATTGTTTACTAACTCGGAATCGATCAATGAGCCAACAGCATTCCGGATCATGCGAGAAACTGGTAAAGTGGAAATAGTGCACATTTGTGTGTTCTTCCCTCGTTCGGTTTCCTCCGGGTGCCATGGGTTGCTCACACAGTCCAAAGACTCTGCTAGATTAACTGGCTTCTGGGATGACTGCGTGTCTGTGTTTGTGTTGGCGTGTCTAGCCTATAATGGACTGGTATCCCGTCCAGAAATCAATATAGAGATCAGTTGTTTAAAAATGTTTAAGAGTTCTTTAAGGTCAATTTTCAAGTACACCTTAGTTCAATTCTTGAACAAGTTGCCAGTATTAACAAAAAGAGTGGCTATAGGTTTTTCAATTTCTTCAATTGTTCAAAAAACATAATAAAAATATGAAGGAAATTAATTTTACTTGACTAAGAGCTCACACCCGAAGAAGGCTCCACGGCCGAAACTTTGTGTTTTCTTTCTTCTCTTTTCAGCATGGAATAAACCTATCACTTGTTCCTTAATAGCTAACATATGCAGATATTTGTCTGTGTGCACTGTATTTTTTTAGAGTTAACAAGCTCATTCCCTGATACAGGTCCAACGGCACATGTAACAGCAAGCTTCTTCCTTGCCAGGAATTCCAGGCCTTTTGGGATCCAGTAATGTGCCTGCCTGCAGTGCAAGAGAGCTCCATGCCCTGGCTGGTCCATCTAACCGTTTACCACGGGATTAGACAAAGTGCAATCTGAAAGTAAAACTTGGCTGTCCAGTCAAGCAATTGGCATGCACAGTCACGAGATCAATGATAAAAGCAATGTAATATACATTTATATTTGAATTATTTAATGTATTAACAGGAAATTGATTATATTAGGACAAAACAATATTTTGTTTACACCCCAGTGATTTCAAGTAACCACACTGTAAGTCTTCGGCTGCAGTCACTTTAAGTACACTTCAGAATGTAATCGTGAATAGATGGTTACATACCCCTTTTATACCATAACTGCGTGAACTGTGATACCCACTGAGCTCACCATCTCATTGAGATGCTTTGAACTGGTGCCTACTCTTGGAGTTTACCGACTTCAGTCTATTCTTTAGTGTGTGAAATGATGCTCAATGGCACTTAAATCTGGAGGTTTACATGACCAGTCTTCGATTTTCCATCTTTTTGTAATGGTGAACTCCTTTACTTGTACAGTATCTGCTACTTGTTTTGTCATGCTACTCGTTTTAAAGCACTGCTCAATAATTATGGAAGCACTTTCTTTTACTGAAGCAGGCAATGGCAGTGTCAGTAGTCATTGTTTTGTTGCATCACCAGTACAGACAAGTGAGCCAGTTACACTGCTGGTGTTAAGTGGTGTTGGCAGACCAACAGGTGACACTGTCTCAAGAAACTTTAGGATTAAACACATGATTGCAAATTCAAGGAAAGTCAATTTACCAGTTTCAGACACATAAATAAAACAAAACTTTAACTACACAACTATAATTGACTGCATGAGTCAGTACTCTGAAGAAAATTAAAAATCGCGTAGGCAGGGGCAGAAGAAAACTTAATTCTGAATGTTGTATCACCTCTGCTTGAAAGAAAAAGAGTAGTTATTGTTTTGATGCATCATCAATACAGAGAAGTCAGCCAGTTCCAGAAGCAGCCACGCTGACTTCAATGGCAGTGGAACAGACTACTTCCTTGATCAAGTGACAAATCTGCAGCACCAGTCGTCACAAACAACAAAACCTCAAATTATTATTTTAAGGAAACAAATACGCTATTAACAAACACCATTAGCAACCCAGACACATTGGTGAACCTTTAAATATACTTTTTAAAGTGCACATGACTTTAAATTGCACATGGTGTGGTCTTTCCACAACCTTTGAAGATTGATAACAATATCCTGTTTAATGGACTAAGGGGCACTAGTCATGTAGTAATAATACACGACATTGAAAGATTTTGTTTTAGGATGTGAACTAAATTAGACTGTTTGAAGTACGCCTCATCCATTTCCCCTAACCACATTCTTAAATGTCCTTGCAAACATTTTGCTTGCTAGACTACAAGAAAATGTCTTAATAATCATTACTTTACCCTTTTGGTCTCAGCAGTGACGAGCACAGTTTTACCTCGAGTAAAGTACAGGTGACTTCTGACAGCTCCTTCACTCTTGGCAGTTCAATGACATCGGTCTGTGTGGAGGCGTCTCTTCCAAAGTAACCGTATCTCAGTTGATTTCCCAATGAGTACCTTAAAACGCGTGTTGTTAATGAAAAAATAAATACATTAATGTGACAGTTAACACATCTTACAATGTTTGGTGTTTGGAGTAGTGGTCAGGGGAGGGTCAGTGGTCCAGCTCGTAACTGGAAGGTTGACATCCCATTTGACACACTGGTGTTGGACCGAGATATTTCACCTGAGACTCTCCAGCAGAATATCCAGTTATAATAATTATTATAATAATAATAATAATTTCTTACACTTATATAGCGCTTTTCTGGACACTCAAAGCGCTTTACAGGTAATGGGGATCCCCTCCACCACCACCAGTGTGCAGCTCCACCTGGATGATGCGACGGCAGCCATAGTGCGCCAGAACGCTCCCCACACACCAGCTCTCAGTGGGGAGGAGAGCAGAGTGATGAAGTCAATTCATAGATGGGGATTATTAGGAGGCCATGATTAGTAAGGGCCAATGGGAAACTTGCCAGGACACCGGGGTAACGCCCCTACTCTTTTCGAGAAACACCCTGGAATTTTTAAAGACCACAGAGAGTCAGGACCTCGGTTTTACGTCTCATCCAAACGATGGTGCCTGTTTACAGTATAGTGTCCCCATCACTGGGGCATTAGGACCCACATGGACCACAGGGTGAGCACCCCCTGCTGGCCCCACTAACACCTCTTCCAGCAGCAGCCTTAGTTTTTCCCAGGAGGTCTCCCATCCAGGTACTGACCAGGCTCACACCTGCTGAGCTTCAGTGGGCTGCCAGGTGTAAGTTGCAGGGTGATATCTACAACTATCCTACACAGTTAAAGCCTACACGTTATAAACCTGATGCGATATGTAACCTATCACAGCTATGATACTTGTAGTGCATGGAACAAAAAAAATAATCATTTGTATTGCATGTAGGTTTAAGATTATTTAAAATATTCTGTTATTAATGTAAAAACCAAATAAAAAATAATCTGAACTGAACCCGAAGGCACAACATCACTTTGCGAGGCGGTAGGGGGGGGTTGTTTTTATTTTAACCCGACTGCCGGCAGAAATAGCGCGGACAACAGAAAAAAAAAAGACTGAAACCCATCAAAACCCATTCGGTACCAAAGATTTATACCTCTCGATATCCCGAAGTTCTGAGGAATACAGTCTCTCCTCCTGCTCCTCGGAGTTTCCCTGCACAAGCACGTCCATGTTACCGGCGTGATCGACACGGGGGCGCCGCTTGCGTCGGTTTCCATAGCGACGGATCTCGCCCGCTCGGCGGTCAAGACCCGGATAGAGTTGAAGGAAGCGATGGGCACGGACAGTTTGCCTTATTTCCTTCAGGATTATTATCGGTATAAACACAAGTCTCAAGCTGCTGTTTGTAAAAAAAAACCCCACACCGTCATGTAGTCAGATCAGATCGCTGTATGCTGACCATTTACGTTTGTGCAAAGCCGGTGGTGTTAAGGGAGGAAAGGCGCAGTGTGCTCTTTGACACACTTTCTCATTCGGGCTCCCATTTGGGACTGAAACGGAAAAACCTCTGAGAATAAATGCTTATTTGAAATGCATTAAGGAATAAGGAATACAAATGAACGCGTAAAAAGTTATATAAAAAATAATAAAAACCGTAACATCACTATACTGTACTTGATAGGGATCCCTATGAATAAAAGGGATTTCAGAAATGGGGCAGTCTAGTCAAAAGTGCTAGAAGGTTGTTTGAATAATTCAGTAATAATGAAGCATTTATAATAGGGAATAAAAACCCATCCTTCACAATACAAATGGTATAATATACTCTATTGTTCAGCAGAACTGTGGTGACAGTTTTAAAGTGTTTTCTACTTCTGCGCTGCTTCCTTTGTCTAACGAACTCCTGTGAATTTAGAGCATTTTCATAATTAAAATGATAACAACGATTCGACTGACAAAGTGGGTGAAGTTGCTGGCGTTGTTACCTCACAGCCCAGGGCTGCCTGGGGTGCAGTTTGTGGGGAGTCTGTATGTTCTGCCTGTGTGGGTTTTCGCCGGGCGCTCCGTTTTCCTCCCACACTCATGGGGAAAATCGACCCTGCTGTGGGTGTGTGTGTATCTGTGTTTGTGTGTGTGTGCCCTGCAATCGGCTGGCCCAGGCACTGGCGTCACGCCCAGGGTGTTTTATCGCCTTGCGCCCTTTGCTTGCTGAGATCCTAAATTGGAGGGAAACGTTAGCAAATTCATGGATGGACTTAACGAGGTCTTCCCAAAATCCAGCGTGACACCAGTCTTTATTTTGGAAATGCAAAATGAAGCATACTGACTGCAGATGGGCAAGGCATACAGTACCATCCAGCCGACAAGCGCAAGGCTATGGTTTTCGGAAAGTGTTTTACATCACTTGGTACATTCGAAACAAAAAAAAAAGGAAAACTGTCAACATAAAGAACTGCAAAGGGCTGTGTTATAAGGCAATACAGGACCGCACTGTAGTCCTTAGTTTGATCATGACGTGAGCAGATGCTGAATGTCTTCCCTCTGAGACACCCATGAGAAATAATGCGTCACATCCCGTCGCCCATCATCTTCTATAGACGTGTGGATGCACATGCCGTTCAGAGCGAAGATGGCCCATCGGTGACGGCAGTGTCTTTTAACGCGCGGCTTTAGCCAAAAGGTTGTGGAAACACTACGCGCGTTACTACGGCCATGCTCACTACTTCACAAGGGGGGAACGCCCACCCCCCGTCAGCGTGGGATCTTTTGCCAAAAGGCTGGTGTCAGTCTCTGCGCGCTTCCCCTCCGTGAAGCCCGCAAGCCGGCGTAAATAAAAATAAAAAATAAAAGCCAATAAGATCGCGGTAGAGGCGGAACTTCCTGATTTCCTCCCCCCCCCCCAACACCACCTCCCTTGAGGTCAGCGCAGTGTGTTTAGTAACTTACGCGTAATGGTTTTCCGTCAGTGCTGGCGAGGGTCTGGCATTCCAGCGCACTGACGCCACAGGCTTTAGGGGGGTAAACAGAGCTCCAGCCGAGCGCAGTCCCCAAAGTGTCCCGTGACACATCAAATAGTTCCCATTCCAGCTGCACAGTCAGCAGCCGGGGCAGGCGCCCGGGGGGACTCTGTTATAAGAGGATATGAAGAGAGCCGGGGTCCGGTTACATTGTTCCGGGCTATAATTAGCGGAGCTCAGCGCTGACGCAAGATGGCTAAAGTTGGATCTTCTGTGTGTGACAGCGGGAATTAGGATCAGGAGCGCCGCAGGAATAACTTCACGGCCCGGACTGCGATGAGTGATGACACTGGCTATTTTTGAGCGGCGGGATAATCGCGTGTGGCTACCTGGGACCTCGGCGTTTCATATATAAAGGGTGCGCGGTTGGGAAAAAAATGCAGCTCTACAGCAGCGCGTTGACACATTACCCCGGGTCGTCCTGCAAAGTTTCGATTCCCATTGCAAATATTGACGGTAACGCGCCAGCGACTGCGACTGCAAACACCGTTGCCGCGAGTAACGCTGATTATCAAATTCCTGCACACGGAGTGGAGGAGACGGGGGCTACGACTGCGCCTGCCGCGAAGATGCCTGCCTTTTCCTGTTATGAACCAGTTCCCAGCTCGGCGAGCAAGCCGAGCTACTACACTTCCACCGCTCAGATCCTGGTTACCAAGCCCGGTGGGGTGGAGAGGTTCATGCCAGTCCAGATTATGAAGGACTCCCGACGTGGCGCAGTAGACCTCTCCGGAACATACTTCGCTAGTCCGGCAAGCTCGCCGGTTCTGGACGCGAAGGGCTCCTGCTCGCCCAGCGCCCTGTGGCTGGGGGACTTAATCGACACGATGAACGGCGAACTGGGCGCGCTGGACGAATACCAGAAGGTCCTGGAGCACAACATGATCAGCTTCGACAGGAAAGCGGACGGAAAGCGTTTCACGAAGGGCAGCGCCCTGAGTGGTCTGGACCACGAGTGGCACCAGAGCGCCTGCTCTCCGGGCGAGGGTCCCCACGACGCCGAGGCGCCCGACACGCTTTTGAACGACAGGGTGTCAAACGCCTGCGAGGATTTGGCGTCTCCAGAAGCTCGGCTTGTTGGCCGGCGTTGCCAGGAGAGCACGGAGCCCGCTGGCACAGACCTTGCCGGGGAAGCGCCAGGCGACAGCCTCCTTCAGCCCTCCGCCCCCGGCGTGGGGGGCAGCCGAGGTGAGAAAAACGAGCAGGTGGCACACTATCTCGCCGAGGTGGAGAAGCAGAACAAGTATCTCCAGGAGAGGGAAAAGTACAGGTTCCACGTCATACCCGACGGGAACTGCCTGTACAGGGCTGTGAGCAAAGCAGTGTACGGCAACCAGTCGGCGCACAAAGAGCTGCGGGAGCAGACGATGCACCACATCGCGGATCACCTGGACGAGTTCTGCCCCATCATCGAAGGCGACGTGGGCGAGTTCTTGATCAACGCCGCCCAGGACGGCGCCTGGGCTGGGTATCCGGAGCTGCTCGCCATGGGCCAGATGCTGAACATCAACATCCACCTCACTACCGGGGGCAGCGTGGAGAGCCCCACCGTGTCCACCATGGTCCACTACCTGGGCGACGAGGACCCCTCTAGGCCGAGCATCTGGCTAAGCTGGCTCAGCAACGGACACTACGACGCCTTATTTGACCGGCCCCTACCCAACCCGGAGTACGAGAGCTGGAGCAGGCAGGCGCAGGTCCAGAGGAAACGGGACGAAGAACTGGCCAAGTCTATGGCGGCGTCTCTGTCCAAAATGTACATCGAGCAGAATGGATCTACGTGACCTGCTCTTAGGGTTCCGAGATGGCGTACCGTACAATTGTGCGTTCTGTCCGAAACCGAAATGTATGTTTCTGAAATAGGGCACCTTAATCACAGTTTGATGGCACTTTAAAACGCATGCAACATGCCGTACAGAAATTGCCTTAATTTATTTTTTTCTAAACCGAATGTTTTTAATGCATTCACGTGGAGCTACTGAAGGTTGCGGTGCACCTGCGTGTTGTATAGATTTTTTTATCATTATTTTTGTATGGAAGTGCTGAATTTATATCCACAAGTCGGATTCCTTACGTTGTGCGTAGAGGTCGCAAAGAAAGAAGTTTACATTACTGTGTTACTAGTACCAGTCCTGTACTAGAGAATAAAGCACAGGACTGAAGTTTGGGAAGAGAAAGAACAGTTTTTTGACAACTTATTTTTCAGGTGTGCGAAATTATATATGTGTACATTTATAAACTTTATACACTTAACCGCTGATTGGTAATTGCGTAATGAGTCTATTTAATTGCCTTTTTGTGTTTTGCTGGGTCGAACACTTGTTTTGCTGCAAGATCATTCTATTCCAGGCTGTTTGCTTGTCTTGAAAGCGCGGTATTTTGTATCGAAGATCTGAATCTTATTTTTTTAAATACTATTTTTTTTTCTAAGTAGATTGCTGGATCGGAGACGTACCATTGTAAGACTGAAAGTTTTGTTTCGTGGCTGCATTATCATTTTGAAGTAAAGGTTTAATTTTTCTGGACGATTTAAGGTGTTTCGTTTTTACTATTTGTGCTGTTCATTTTGGGAGGATCGGTTTGTGATGTATTATTTTTAATGATAATAATGGCGGTAGGAGCACTTTCGACACCACCAACGTGAAAGCTGACAGGAATAATGCCAAGGTCATTACAATGTTGTGAAATATTACGAATGAGGTAAAAACAACTATTCCCACACAAGAGAAAATTCCAAATCTTCCACTTACTGATAAATGTCGCCAAATATCAGGCTGTGTGGACAAAGCCTACTGTTTTCCAGTCGTTGACTTTTATCAGTACTATGTTTTAGTTTTAAAATAGTTATGCATTGCATTTATCAATGAGTGATTATATTGCACCCTGACCTGAATATGAAATCTAAGAACAACCAGCACAAGTTGGTTACCTGTTTTTCTTCTTGCTTTTTTGGTATCATAAAATGAAATTATAATAATAACAATAGTTGCTTACACTTATATAGCGCTTTTCTGGACACTCCACTCAAAGCGCTTTACAGGTAATGGGGATCCCCTCCACCACCACCAGTGTGCAGCCCCACCTTATTGGAGCCCCCCCTAATTTAACTTCACTTCTATGTTGTGTAGGAGAGAAGGAATGTTCTACATTCTTTTTATTACATGTTTTATTGCAGTAGCAAGTTGATGGTGGAAAAGCAGTTGACAGTTTAAAAAAATAAAGCTATTAGTGCTCTTAAATGTTACGTATAGGCTTATAGTTTATGAAATGCTTGATTATGAAATGTCTGAATTTTGGCAGGGAGCTTGGGGGCAGTTTGTAGATTTTTAAAATGTTTTTGTTTGTTTTGGTGTTTGTGATTTCAGAATATATTCTTTTCATTCCTAGAATTCCTCTAAGCTCCCCCTTCAGTTCGTGACTTCATGTAGTCAGAATGAGCAAAACAACTCCTGATGAAATAGTTGGGTCATAAACCAGTTAAGGGCCAAGATAATTCTCTTTTTTTTTTCAAGCAGCGTTGATACAACATTCAGAATAAGTTTTCTTCTGCCCCTGCCTACATGGTTTTTAGTTGTCTTCAGAATACTGACTCATGCAGTCAATTATAGACGTGTAGTTAAAATTGTTTTATTTCTGTATCTGAAACTGGTAAATTGACTTTCCTTGAATTTGTAGTAATGCGTTTAATCCTAACATTTCTTGAAAAAGTGTCACCTGCTGGTCTGTCAACACCACTTAACACCAGCAGCCTGATTTTCCTTAAACGTATCTTACATGACCAGAGTCAGAAAAAAGTAAAAACAAAATAGTCTCTTATTTATAATGGACTTCTGAAAAAGCAGGAAATTAGCATTGCATCTAATTAAGGTGCTTCAGTGCTAAGGACAACGAGGCAGACTAATTAATTTGGCAACATATAAACTGTGGTTTAATGTTTATATACATTGCCATATACGCGGCTGTGCAAAAATACGGTATAAAGCCACAGTATAGCAATACAACTGTACATAGAAGCACAAGTGACTGAGAAGTCCACAAATCTTTAGTATCTAAAGCCAGAAGCTATGATATGCTGATGTAGGCTGTTGTTACCATGTTACACATGTTTCTGTTATCACTGTTCACAAAATACCTAAACACAAAAGAATAAGTGGTTACTGTCTGTTTACAAGATAAGTGGGTGTTGAAAACCAGCAATGACTGACAGTGATGTGACGTTTGTCTGTATTGGTTTTGTACAGTTATTTTCATAGCTTTTCATTTGGTCTTCCACATTTTTACTTTGTTGTGTTTGTGCACTCATGTTGCACTTTTCAAGCTCCATTAAGAAATGTCTGTATTGAACAGAGTTGCAAATAAGTTAGTTGCAGTAATAAAAATGCAGGCTGAAGAGTTACAGCAAACCTTTTTGAAAACATTCATAACCTTTATTGTACCACAGTGGTATAAGAAATTTGATCCAACAACTTTACTAAAGTGAGTATTGATATTGATACTATGATATTGGTCATAGTATGTTTCTTACAGCAGTTATAGAGACTGTTGTCTAGGTTGCAGGCTAGGGTTGTGTGCTGAAACCCGTGTCCCACACTGGAATGAGTGCTTGTCGTGTCCTCAGGAGGCTACCAGAGCAAGCAGCAGTATTGGCTCAAAACTGGCCATAGTCTGGTGCTGAGCCAAAATGGCTGCTGAGAGGCCAGCAATTGAAAGCAGGTGTTGTTTAAGCCAAGCGTGGCTGGGCGTTACTTACAGCGAGAGTTACATGCATACAAGAGAGAAGGGTAAAAGAATAAAAGAAAAAGAAGACTGGTTGGGAAACAGATAGGTTCATGGGACAGGCAGAAAGGGATTGTTTGCCTGCACAGTAATAAACATGTTTTGGGTGAGGGAGCAGGATTTAGCCTTCCCTGCAATAGAAACAGGACTACCTCTTATCTAAAGTGCAAATAGAGTTTGATCTGTGTTTTTTGCTTATGAAAGTGTATAAACATTCCCAATAAAAGTCCCAGATGCACCAACAAAGTTGCATGAGTCTTTATTCGTTGCAGAAGTGCAAGTTCAATCCTGAGCAGACGAAGGCTACCTGACAGGGGGTCTTCAGTGTTTGGAGCTGAAGATCCTGTAGCAGTGTGACAGCATGGCAGGCTGTTGCACACCTTAAAGAAAGTTATTACATTGTTTCCATCTTCACCCTCGCAAGTTCAGAATACTGTAGCACTTTCAGGTTCACATGGGTATGCACCCTCACTGCTGCTTCCTCAGGTCGGCCCCCCACAGCTGGGGGCTTGAACCCAGGCCTCTGGTGTCACTCGAATGGGAACCAGCCAGCTGAGCGGAAATCTCCCGACAGCCCAGCAGCTGAGGTCCCTCCTATTCACAGAGAAGGGCGGTGACGTCACCGTGCTGGCAAGCCGGCTCACACAACCTGTAATGTCGGCCGTATGCGTTACAATACATTCTATCATGCAAACTGTTCATGTGGTTTGTACAATATTTTTGGATGTGGTCTTGATACTATATATAATTAATTATATCAAATCCAATAAGAGAACATTAAGAATGTCATTATATGCTTAAAACACTAATCATACCTTCATCATTCTATTGTTTAATGGCTGTGTCTCATAAACTTAAAGAGTGATATCGTGTCAGGCAAAAAGTGCGTAGTTTTGGGTAAAAGCTTTGTACCTGACTTAGTCTTTTCTCCCTTTTCTATACATCAACGGCAGTTTCTTTGAAATAAAACTGACATCTCCTGTAACAATACCAGGTGCTTTCTTTCTCCCTTGTCTCCTCCTGCCACACGGCTCATCAACCCTGCTGGGACCCTCTGGAGTGATCCTGTGGGGTCAATTAGGAGTTTACCTGTGGGTGGATGAAGGTGGAAAACTTGAGTCCTAGATCCTGAGCTGATGGGTGTTTGACTGGAGAAAACCCACCCGACTTAACATTGAATCATGACATGGCATTCAAGAAGATTAAATGCTTTCAAGTTACTTAGAAGAAGGAGTTTTCCTCATTTGTAGGGTTTTGTATGGCTAAGCCTTGCTAAAAAAGTTTCTGTACCAGAGCGTTTTGCTTGCAATCATTAACAGGTCTGTGTCAGTCAGACCCCAACTCCAGGACTGGGGTCTCAAATTCAGTTCCGAGATTATCTTCTGGTTTGTGTCCCAATTTAAGTAGTAAATTGAACCATTAAATTAATTATTTTAATTAAGGCACATATACAGTACAATGGGGAGCAACAGTGGCACAGTGGTAGCATTGCTGTAATGCAGTGTTGAGGCCCTGGTTTAAGCTCCTGGATGTGGGGGTGCTGTCTGTGTGAGGTTTGTACATTCTCTCAGTGTTTGTGTGGGTTTCCTTTCACAGTCCAAAACCATACTGCTGGGTTAATTGGCCCTAGGTGTGAGTTTGTGTGGGTCTGTGTGTCTGCTCTGCAATGTCCTGAGCCTGCCTTGAACCTATTGCTTGCCAGGATAGGCTTAAAATCCCCCACAGCCCTGCAATGCAAAAAGTGATTAGAAAATGTCTGGATGGATATAAACAGTGTTTGGGGACAGTGAAGAGAAATTCTTGTACTTCAGGTAAAAAGAATAGTATGAGGCAGAAGTGTAGAATTTCAGCTTTTGTCTTTGGATATTGCTCTGCATACATTTGTAGCCACGGTAGGACAATGTCATATGTTGTGTTCAATCCTCCCCATTTCAGGAGTCTAGGCTGCCAGGTGATTTTAATTTCTCAGGTCTTCCATGTTGTACTAATTATGAATACATAAAAAAAAGCTGCCCATATACACCCTTGGATCCAGACAACAAACTTTGGAGTTCACCTTTTGGGTTTGCCTCTTGAGGTGAACAGCACTAAAAACCAAACAAGGTTTTATGGATAGACAAGCTGAAGATTAACCTTTATCACAGGGATGGAAAAGCAGGAGTGTGGAGAAAGAGGGGAACAGCCAACGATCGTAAACACATCACCTCATGCAGTCACTGCATATAAGGGGTATGACCAAAAACATTAGTTACACTAGTTTAATTTACTAGTTTTTTCTTTATTTAATTTGTTCCAGTACTTATGCTGACCTGAAATTGGGGGAGAGGGATTGAACACAGACACATTTTTGTTCTAACAGGCGCAAAATCTTTATCTTCTGATCCAAAAAACAAACTTTAAAAGTACACAGAAAATGTAAAAAAAATAACTTTACCTTCCCAAATCTTACACTTTCAATAGTAGGATTTTCTTAAGATCATTTACAACTGATTACAGTAACAATCACTTCATTATAGTTACAGCTGCCTACTGTATAACTCAGGGGTGGAGGGGTGGCTCTGTGGCTAAGGATCTGCACCTATGGTTGGAATGTTTAGGGGCCAAATCCCATGGCTGGCAGAAGAATCCTACTCTGTTGGGCCCCTGAGCAAGGCCCTTAACCCCAGCTGCTCCAGGGGTGCTGTACAATGGCTGACCCTGTGCTCTGACCCCAAGCTTCTCTCCCTGTCTGTGTGTCTCATGGAGAGCAAGC